TTGATATTGTCTTGGAATTTCCTGTAGGCTGCCTCAGATAAAATAATTCCCAGCCGAATCTTCATCTTGTCTGCTCTCTACTTTGACATTATGCCTTCAAAATCAAATCTTATTATTTAATCCAAAACAAAAACACTTTATTACAGAATATTAAATCAATAACATTAACAGACTGACCTTGGTAATTCATTTTACCATGATTGATAAGCCAATATTTAAACTTTGACTACTGATACTCAAAGCTTTGCAAATTTATTCCAGACTATTCATAATTGAACAAGCTATCCTAACCGCCTCACAGAGAAATCACTATCCAACTACTTTGTGTCTTAGACCAAGTCAATACTTTACTTTCTCATTTTTCAAATAAACTTACAGCCAAAATTACAATACGACTGATTGTAAAGGCCAAACATTTTACCTTCCTCTGTTTCATTCCCATCATCTTCCTGAGTTGGTGCCTGTGAAAATATGCTAAGCCCAAAATAGCAGTTGTGCACTGCCAATTCAGCCTCAGTCATTTCCAAGCCAAAGGGGAATTGACAGAAACCCTCTTTACAAGTCTAGTGTTTGTAAATATCCAATGAAATTACTTCATCCAGTCAATTATTTCTGGAGAAAGCTGGCAGAATAACATGGTAATTAAACTGAGGACTGGTGGAAACTGTTAAACAGGAGAGGTATTTTGCTGAGCAGTTCTAGTTAATGCTTTTAATGTATTTTCACTTAAAAAAAATGCTTGAGATACTAGTACAATTAAAAAGGAATTGCCTCTTCATATAGATCAATGGAACAGAAGAGAGAACGAAAAAATCGACTCAAGCCACTATGCTCAATTAATATTTGACAAAGGAAGCAAGAGCATACAATGGAGCAGAGATAGTCTCTTCAATAGATGTTGTTGAGAAAATTGGATACTGGCAAAAAAAAAACAAACAAAAAAACTAGACCACCAACTTATACCATACACAAGAATAAACTCAAAATGGATAAAAGACTTAAATGTAAGATACGAAACCATAAAGTCCTAGAAGAAACCATAGGCACCATAATCTCAGACATCTCTCATAACAATATGTTTACTGATACATCTCTTAGGACGATGGAAACTAAGGAGAAAATAAACAAATGAAACTACATGAAAATAAAAAGCTTCTGCACTCCAAAGAAATCACCAACAAAATAACAAGAGAGGCCATTACATGGGAGAACATATTTGCCAATGATACATCTGATAAGGGGTTAATCTCGAAAATATATAGGGAATTCATATAACTTAACAAAAGGAAGACAAACAATTCAATTAAAAAATGGGCAAGGGACCGCCAGAGTGGACATACGGAAAGCCAAGAGACATGAAAAAAATGCTCAAAGTCACTAATCATCTGAGAGATGGAGGTCAAAATGACAATGAGATATCACCTCACATCTGTCAGAATGGCTATCAACAAATCAACAAACGACAAGTGTTGGCAAGGTTGTAGAGAAAAGGGAACCCTAGTACACTGCTGGTGGGAATGCAGACTGGTGCAGCCATTATGGAAAACAGTATGGAGTTTCCTCAAAAAATTAAAAATGGAGCTCCCATTTGACCCAATGATCCCAATTCTAGGAATATGTCCTAAGAAACCTGAAACATCAGAAAGAATATATGCACCTCTTATGTTCATAGCAGCACAATTTACAATAACTAAGATTTGGATACAGCACTTAGACTGAGGTACATGTACACAATGGAATACTATGTGCCAATAAAAAAGATAGAACTCTTACCATTTACAACAGCATGGATGGACCTGGAGAGTATTATGCTAAGTGAAATAAGCCAGTCAGAGAAAGATAAGTATCACATGATTTCACTCATATGTGGAATCTAATTAACCAAATAAATGGATGTACAAAATTAGACCCAGAAGCATGAACAGGCTGTTGAACCTCAAAGAAGAGGCAGGGGAGGGTGGGTGGGAAGAGATCAACCAACGAACTTGTGTGCATATATGCATAACCCGCGGACAGAGAAAAATGAATGGGGTGGTGAGATGGGGGTTGGGGGAGGAATACGGGAGTGGGCTGGAAGAGGTGAATGGGAGAAAAAGGGGGACCTATTTAATACTTTCAACAATAAAGATTTTTTTTAAAAAAGGAATTGCCTCTTCACTGGAAAATATATTTTTAAAACTCCAGTGAAGACTGTGCATGGAAAAGGAAGGAGAAACACAGTTTTTCAGTATCTTCTTGGAGTCAGAATTTATTTTAAGTATGATGAATTCTGAAATCAAAACACAACTGTACCCAAATGTAAGTGGAAAAGACATCCTAAAGCCAGAACATCATGCAGTGAAGACTCAAGTGCCTGTGTGCTAGGTATTCACTGTCTGTAGCATATTTTTACCCTATCCACTTTCCCATTGGCTCCTCCAATGGGCAACCCTTTCCTTCCTTCATTCAAAAAACTGAACCCCTCAGGCATTGGTCTAGTTATGTCTACTGTAGACATAAACAAAAATACTTTACCATATACTTCTCCCAGGTGCCTAATGGTTATGCACTAGGAGACAGAGCAAAGTTCTAAGACAAAGTAACAAACTGGAATCCAAAAGCTGATAGGAAAATCTCTGAAGGCTTCCCAAAGTAAAATACAAGCTGTTGCTTGTATCACTTCCTTTTTCAAAGACTCCTGCATACAAATAAACACCAACTTTCCTAGTGGATACAAAGGTTACAGAAAAAGGGGTAAACTTTCAGGCTGTTAATGGAATAAGAGAAGTTGCTGGAAAGTTCCAAGGTGGAGTAAAATTGGGTGAGTTAATGACTAAAAACAGCTTCTGTTACACTTCACAAATTCTTCTCACTTCTCTTTGTCAGAATACACGATATTTCACTTATGAAAGATTCCACTGGATGAGAAAACACCATCTTTTAAAAATGCAAATAACTCAGGGTGTAAAGTTAAGAACTGTCAGTCATTCACACTCTGCTCGTATGAGCTGCACAAGAACTTCAAGGAATGTTTGCCAGAGGAATACTATAAAATCAGAATGGTAGGGCAGTTGAGATCTTAGATTCTAGAGACGTACTGCCTGAGTCTGAGTCCTAGCTGCATCACTCGCAAGCTAGGCAAGTTTGCACAACCAGAAAACTAACACCTGAGGCCTGTGTCATATAAGGGGGTGAGATCCAAATTTATATCACAAGTTGAAAAAAATGACCTTAAATCTGGTTTAAAGCAACTGAAATTTCCAGAGCCCAGGAAAACCAACCTGTAGAGACAATCTCTCAACCCACGGTACAGAGAACTCTCACAGAACAAAGAACTTCTTTGAATTTAATCTCCCAACAAAATATTATACACCATTTGGAGAAACCCATTCCCCCTGAGAGCCAACAGACTTAGAACCTTGCAAACTACAAATGACAATTTTACACAAATGATGTTATCTTTTACTACAATCTTGCTCATGCTTTTGTTCTCATTCGGGGCTAACAAAACCTTTAAAAATACCATAATACTGTATCCATGTCTATTAAGACTATTGATAATTCTGGAAATTCACCCCGTGAGCTAAAGAAAATCCATGTATAAAATGTAACATGCGGCATACAACGTGGTTCACTTTTATTAATTAGATGGCCCGAATCTATAAATGGGAAACTGAATTAACTACCAGAATGCTACCCATCCCCATCTATTACTTTGAAGCTAATCTATATCTTACATTCATAGTTTACATTTAAAAAAAAACTGGATTAATGTCTCTTCCAATCCTTTTGGGTGGCATTAAAAAAATCTTAAATTTGGGAGGAAATGAGTTCACATTTAAAAAGAAGCGCTTGTGCACCTAGAGCTCAGAAACCACTTTTAAATTTAAAAGCTCTAAGTTTATAAGGGAAATTCCTTTCTCTTCTGACCACCTATCTAAATCTGAAATACTTATTTCAACCCTTTTCTTTGTGTGGTAGTTTCAATCTACTCCTTTATTGCAATTTGTCTAAAAATATTGACACATTAGTGTCGAAAGTCTCTTTGGCTTACATTTACCATCTTAAAAAATGTTTGCCAAAATAAACATGTGTGTTTTTTTAAATGCTAAATATAAGAGAAATATGAAAAATGTAATAACCGGTCTTTTAATCACCCTATGTGTTTTTTTCAACACTTGCATCTTTTAATCTTCGAAATGCTACTAAACATGAGAATACGGGAGCCCGGAGAGGTCAAGTGTCCGAGGTAGAACCAGAACCATGAAAGCGGGACTTCAGGCTGGGGGAGCCTCAGGAATGTTTGCCCACCCGCCGGGGCTGTTTCCCATTGCCTTCTCGAACCATAAAAACAGAAGAAGCCATTTCTAACGGGGGAGATGTAGACATCTCTTAGGAGAAAGGTTGCAGAATAGCAAGAATAATTCATAAAATATCAAGGACACAACCCAGTCCACAGACCTCGGAGACGCTAGAGACCTTGTTAAATGTCTCTGCTCCCTTTCCACTAAGTAAACCCCAGTTCTCCGAAATGTACCTTCATAATTAAACACCTAAATCTGAACATTCTCTCGAGTCAACCTGCAGAGCAATTTCAGCGAAGTTTGGAAAGGACCCGCTACAACACGCCACAGAGCACACACCTCGAGACCACTAGGTAGAGGGCTCCGCCCCAGTGAACTGAACGAGGACCCCTCTCCCTACCCCCAGGTAGTTTTGTCCGCCCTTTCGCGCCACCGACTCGTAGCCACTTCCTAATTGCCTGTTTATCTCCACCCTGACCCCCCTTGATATCTGTCCCCTTATCTGTTGAAGTTATTAACCAAACGATGATAAGATACGGGAGAGAGAGAAGAGTCAGCTCAGGGAAAAGGAATGTCTGCGTAGCCAAAATTTCCTTAAGTAGTTTGTCCGGCACTGCCGTGGGCAGCCATAGACGGAAGAGGGGGCCTTGGGTCCAAAGCTCGACGCACCGATTGGTTGATCGGCCGCTGCCGGGAAGAACCCGGATGTGCCTGAGTAGTCTGTGTTGGCATTCGGGGCTCTCAAGTTTGGGCATTCTAGGGGTGCTGGCAGCCCGGACGGATGGCGCAGGGCTGGGCTGGCTTCTCTGAGGAGGAACTGAGGCGACTAAAGCAGAGTAAAGGTAACAGGACGTGCCGGGGGAGATTGAAATCTTGGTCTGTTAGAAGGGGCGGGGCTGCTGCTTTTGAGGGGAAGGGGGCGGGGAAGCGGATAAGGTGTTTGTGTTGGGGGATGGATCTGTAAATGGGAAGACAGAATTGAGGGGCTCGGAAGTGGACGAACTGGGAGCCGTGGGGGGAGGGGCGGACTCAGGAGCCTGGGATCTACTTTTAGAAAAGAGAGTTCAGGGATCCATTGCAGGGTTTGTTTGTTTTTTCGTGGGAAAGGAATGGGACCTGGTAGAGGGGGCTGGGCCTATAGCCTGGCGGGCTCATATAGGAAGATTGCGGTGTAGATCCATGGGTGGAGAGTAAAGGAAGGAGGAGGGTCACTCACCCTATTAGAATTGTGATGAATTTATGAGCAAAGGGGAACACGGGGGTCTTAATGCAAAACGTCGGTGCTTTTCATAATACATCTGGAGTCTTGCATTCACTTCTGGTTGCCAGATGATTCTTGCAGTTCTTTCCAACCCAGAGAGTCAGCAAACCAAAGGGGTCTTTGAGAGGTTAGATGTGAAATAAATATATATATATATACAGACATATATATGTATATATATATACAGACATATATATGTATATATATATATACAGACATATATATGTATATATATATACAGACATATATATGTATATATATAGACACACATATATGCGTATATATTTATGTGTGTGTGTCTCTCTCTCTCTCTCTATATATATATATATATGATATCGAGAATTTTATCATTCCCTCTCTGGCTTTATAGAGTAATCGCTGAATGGACTTGTACTATTTTATTATCTTTTAGTAAAGGAATTAAGTTTGTTGATACTTGGTCAGAACTCTTGGTGATATAAACGAGGCTTTGTTGGTGGTTGAAGTTTCATAAAATTCTGTTTGGTTATCCTGGTAATGCACACAACTTCTGTGAGTTTCTACTACTCTTGGTACACAACTTACTGTGCTTTGGGGAAAAATGAAAACCCTGTCATGCTTTTTATTAGAGTTTTTTTTTTTTTTTTTTAGAAAATTGCATGTTGCTCAGATGAGGCCTCTGCATTTTTTAGTATAGATGTGAGGATAATCTAGAATTGACAATCAGAAAAGGAAGTAAATTAGTAACATAGGGCCAGTGAAGATTAAATAGATTGAGGAAAATTTGACTGGTCCAAAGGGCTTTAAAAACTATATCATGAAAGTCATACTACGGTGTTTAATTAACTGACTCAATCTTGCTTGATGTTATCAAATTCTCTTGCTCTGTGTTTTCAACATCCATTCACTTATTCAGATGTACAGTGTGCAAGTACGTCTGCTTCTTGTCTGACCTGAAGTTAAAGACATCGGCTTCTGCATTTAGGATGCAAAGATGAACATGGCCTCATCTGTGCCTCAAAGAGTTTCTAGTCTACTGAGGAGACAAACTATAAAAAATGTGATAGTAGATGTTGTTCAAGAGCTTGCTGCCTCTGAGCAGGAACCTCACACTGCTGGGGGCTGGGTGCACTTTGGGAAGATATCACAGAGATTATGTGTTAGGAGAGGTGACTTTGCTGGGGGAAAGAAGACTTCATGTAGAAGTCTAAATTAAATAACAGATGGATTATGTAGAAGAACATTTTTAAATAGCTCTGCAATTTGGGATAGAGTGGGAGGAACTTAATTTCAAAGCGTGTCATTTCATAGCCAGATGTTAGAACATAGACACCAACTGACTGGTCTGTGATCCTTGAAGAAGAGAAAAGATGCGTCTTTGCATACGTATAGCATCTTTGTATACTCATAACCAAACATAGTGATTGTCAGATCATCTAGTTCTGCATCTGAATCTTTTTGCCTTGGATTTCTCATTTGTAAAGCTGGAAGAGCTGGATCTTTACTTTTTAAGGTTTCTTCCAACTATTCTCCAGCCATAAAATTATAATTAAATAACCTGTGAAAATGAAGTTGGTTGCCAGCAAAAATCAGGATAACAACGCTAGCAAAACCCGTATGTGCAATGGTGGAGATTGAGAATGTTCTCAACACTCTTCATTATAATATTGAAAATCTGGGAATAAACCAAGTGTTCATTAACAAGGAAGTGGATAAATAAATTGTGGTATAATCATCCAGTGGACTACTATATAGCTAGTAGGAATATATGCATTAACACGTATAACTTTCATAAATACAATGTATGAAAAGAGCAAGTTGCAGGAGAATATGTAGTCTGATACCATTTATGGAAGGTCAAAATCATATAAAGCCTGTATATTTTAGGAATATAGGAGGTCTATAAAGAAAGTCAAGGGAATGAAACACAAAATTCAGGGTTGGGGGAAGCAAGGAGTGGAACATAGGAAGCTTCAAAGGTAGTGGTACTTATGAAATTAATTACCAACTTAAGCGGCAGTAATAAATAGCCCTAACATATCAATTGTGTAAAATAATAAAGGTTTTAAAAAAATTTTATTCCAGCTTTCTGTCTAACATGGGTTGGCAGGTGACTCTACTCCATATAGTCACTCCACACAATGCCTTGGTCCTGTGCTATAGGAGCTCACCGTGGCAAGAGAAGATTGAGAAGTAAGCATTGGCAATAAATACTCCCACCAATAAATGACATGTGCCACTTCTACTTCATTTAGCAAAAGCAAGTCATATGACTTGCAAGACAGGAAATACAGTTATTGTGTGTGTTCCAAAAAGGGGGTAATGTTCTATCCTTAACCAGCAATTATATCTACTGTAGCCATGTTTTATTTGTTAAACTGTGTTGTATTTTCATAATCCATACTGGATGGAGCGTGTGTGTGTGTGTGTGTGTGTGTGTGTGTGTGTGTGTGAGAGAGAGAGAGAGAGAGAGAGAGAGAGAGAGAGAGAGAGAGAGACATTATAGGATGCATGACTTATTTCATAACTAGAGGCCAGGTGCACAAAATTTGTGCACGGGGGCAAGGGGGCAGAGGAGTCCCTCAGCCCGGCCTGTGCCCTCTCGCAATCCAGAACCCCTCAGGGGATGTCTGACTGCTGGTTTACAGGCCTAAACCGGCAGTCAGATATACCTCTCGCAATCCAGGACGCTGCATACACCAGTGACCATACTTTTCATACAGGTGAAAGGCATCTTGCTGTTGTATGGGCAGCTACATTTTTTTGCCCTGATTATAAAAAGTAGTATATAACATGATCCTTCTAAGGCATTAGTACCATTTTCCCCATCTTATGGGTGGAAAAACTGAAGCAGAGAGAAGTTGAGTAATTGACTTTGTCACAGTTATAAGTGTAAGAATCAGGGCTGACCACAAAATGTGCAAGCCAGAGTCCATGCATGTCATCGCTGCATCATCCTGTTTTTCAGTGTTAGAGTAGCCTTGCCAGGTTTTAATTTTTAAATCTAAGAGACTGTTCTCAATATATAAGGTAGGGTCCGTAGGCCTGGCCGACAATCAGGGCCGATCTGTGGGGCAACTGGTGGGGCAATCGGGGAGCCCCCACTGGCACCCGCCTTGGCTGGCCTGGCACCGCCCACACGCTGGCACCGCCCCCCGCCAACCAGTTGTTCTGCAGGTTTTGTTCCACTGATCGGTCGATTTGCATATTAGGGTTTTATATAGATAGATGAAAAATTTGGAAATATAAAAGCAGTGCAGCTACAATGCTTTATGTTTTCCAGTTGTTGCTGATATATAAAAATACAAATAAGCCAAAGAAAAACTGACAAAAAAGACATGAAAAGGAAATATGAAGAGATGCTTATCACCATCAATAAGCAGAGAATTGCAAATCAAGAGCATAATGAAATACTGCTTCATACCCATTTGATTGACAGAAATTTAAAAGTCCTTTATCAGATGTGTCTGTTGCAGTGAGTTTTCTCACTCCCTTGACAATGTCTTTTGCACAGCAGAAGTTGTTAATTTTAATGAAGTCCAGCTTACCAATTATCTTCTTCATAGATAGTGCCGTTGGTGTTGTATCTAAAAAGTCATTGCCATACCTAAGGCCATCTAGGTTTTCTCCTATATTATCTTCTAGGCACTTTATAGTTTTGAATTTTGCATTTAGGTCTTTGATTTATTTTGAGTTAATGTTTGTGCAGGGTGTAAGGTCTGTGTCTGGATTCATTTTCTTACATGTGGATGTCCAGTTGTTCCAGGACCATTTGTTGAAAAGAAATTTCTCCATTGTACTACCTTTGCTCCTTTGTCAAAGAGCAGTTGACTATATTTATGTGAGCCTGTTTCTGGGCTCTCTATTCTGCTCCATTGGTTGATTTGTCTATTCTTTTGCTAGTACCTACTGTCTTGATTACTGTAGCTTTATAGTGTCAGTCCTCCAACTTTATTCTTCAATATTGTGTAGCTATTCTGGGTCTTTTGCCTCTTTGTATAAGCTTGAGAATCACTTTGTCAATATCCACAAAATAATTTGCTGGGATTTTTATTGGTATTGCAATGAATCTATAGATCAAGTTGTGATGAACTGACATCTTGACATTATTGAGTCTTCATATCCATGAATGTGGAATATCTCTCCATTTATTTAGTTCCTTGATTTCATTCATCAGAGTTTTGTAGTTTTTCTCATATAGCTCTTGTACATATTTTGTTAGACTTATACCTAAGTATTTTTTTGAGTGCTATGTAAATGGTATTGTGTTTTTAATTTCAAATTCCACTTGTTCATTGTTGGTACATAGAAAAGCAATTGAATTTGGTATATTACTCTTGTATTCTGCAACCTTTCTATAATGGCTTATTAGTTCCAGGAGTTTTTTGGTCATATGTTTTATTTTAAGTGGCCTGATTTGTTTGTTGTTTGAGAGTTTAAAAATTGGCGTTATAAATCGTATAGTGGGTTCTGTGAAAATGCAAAATGAAATGGAAGCTAACGTACAGAATTTGAGTGTCACTGTTAATTCAGCTGAAGACTATGACTGGGAAGTAAGCAAGCTCAATCATATTTTCTGGTGGTGTGAATAAAGATCAGTAGCCAAGAATAAGTTCCTATTCCAAGATTCAGGAGGCTACTTTATGTTTCTGGCTAAAGTCAACAATAACATTTTACTTTAAATAGTACAGCTATTTTTAAAAAATGTTTTCTTTACCCGTCTCATTAAATCTTTACACCAACTCCATATGAGTTAAGTGGAGAGGTAATTTTCAACCAGTTTGACAGATAAGGAAACTGAGGTATGGAATAAATAATTGCTTGAACTGGACAAAAGCAACTCTGGAACTGTGACTCCAGAGCTTTGAACTCTCCCTTGGAGAATCTAAATAATAAGCTTGTATTGCTTCAAAGGTCAATATGCAGAATTTAAAAGCCCTATTTGAGTTCATTTACAAGGACTTATAATTTCATTTCCTGGGTATTTTATAAAGAATATCATTTTAAAATTTATTAAATACAGTATGAATGTGAGTTAAATTCTCCAGTTATCTTCCCTACAAGGTTAATACTAATATGGACAATATGAAAAGTGTAATAGAAGTATTATTACTCAGTTTATAATATGACTTGTTTTATCTTCCTCTATTGCTTTGATCAGGCTGCTATTAAAGTTAGGTTGCATACATTGATTAAAGTCTAACTAGACTTTGGGGAACACAACCTTGGACTATTCTGGAAGATGAAAGAAAACAATTTAGGGTAAACTAGAAATAAGGGACTTCATGTAGTTATATTTTGTGTATAGCATCTTCTTCTATATCAGATTGCCTTAATATCTGTGAAAATTTAAGAAAGGTGAAGCTCATTTGAAAATTCAACCACCATTTTATTTCAGGAGAGTAGGCACAACTGTAAATCAAATTGAAGATATGTCAGAGAATTCATTTGTCTACATATCTTGGTCAAATAGGTGATACTTTTGATAATAATCAGATCAAGTTGAAAAGCCTTGTTTTGTATTCTAAGGCCTTACTCATAGACAGATAGCTCTCCTTGAAGATAAATTGAGAGGTAGGACAGTTTTTGTTAAATGTTAACAGTAGATGAAGAACTTTGTAAACTCTGCAGGAAGATGCTGTTTTTCCCTGGGCTTTTAAGCTAGAGCAAGGGGATTATTAAAAAGTTTAATGTTAATCCTTTATTTTCTTAGAGAAATTATAATTATTTGCTGTTCACACAAAGGAATTTTCCTTCATTTTCTTTTATGTAGATCCATTTGAACCACAGCGGCGTCCCCCTATGAAGAAAAGTCGACAACAACTTCAGCGAGAAAAAGTCCTTCAAGAGCAAAGCCAAAAACTTGGACTGCAAGATGGATCGGTCAGATTACCTCCAGAGCAGCTGCTCTCTGCACCACAACAGAGATTCAGTCATCAAAAGCCACATTTTTCTCCCCCTACTGCTCCTAATCCTCTTACAGTCAACTCTCCTGTTGGCAATGGAAAACCACAGGGCACTGAAAGTCAACCAAGGGAACTGGGACTTGAGAATTCCCGGGATGGTCACATAAGTGCTGAGGTTGTACCTCTAAAACCAGATTGCAAATTGGAGAAAAAGAAAGTGGAATTGTTAGTAAGTCTATATATTCATGATATATTTTCCATTTTACTTTTTTTTCCTATTAGGCTTTGAAGAAATGTAGTTTTAACATTTTCTCTCTTTCATATTCTAACCTAGAAATGTGATAAACAAATTGTCAAAAAAGAGCTACTACCTAAATATATTATAAGTCAGTCAGTGTTAGGCATTTTATGTTTAATGTTACTTAGTTCATTATTTTCACTTTATAGCTATTTTGGACTTAGAATAGCTATTGTATTCTCAAAGCCAATACACAACTAGTAAGTAGTAGAGCTGGGACTCACATAAAAGTCTCTCTGAATCCAGAGTCTATAACCTTGACACTCACAGAAGCATTTCTTATATGTACTCCTTCCCAAATTTAATGCATTCTTCAACTTCCAGACTGCATCTTCATTGACCCAGAAAAGGATACTTGTGAAGAGACAAGTAGGGATGGTCAGAGGAAAAAGTGTAGGAAATTAAGGGGACTAATTAAATAATCCACATGCATCATTAGATTTCTTTTTATTCTTATTTAATTTGTTTGTGTTTGCAACCACCTCCAGAATTTAGTTTAGCCACATTCTTGTGAAAATTGCCATTCTATGACTTGTAAATTCATATAATCATATGTTATTTACTTTGACAGGAGATGTTTAGCTGTGTGAATTATGAAAGCAAAATTGAACATGTGCATACATTCAAATAGTTTACCAAAAAAGGCCTGAGACAAATAGGGGGCGGGTTTGAATTGAGCCGGGCAATTTAGATTGCATGTCATGAGGAAAATTATTCTTTTCTTAGGTACTTGGGGAGAATTTTCATTGAAGACACGTAATGTCAGAAACTATTGTTGAAAAGGAGGAATTTTGAGGCTCTAAGAATGGGAAAGGAAAGCTTTATTCCAGAGACTGTTCAGAAATGATATCTCACTCCTCTGGAAGAGGCAAAGATCAGGCCAGAGAATAGTAAAGAATTAAGAAAGAGAAAAATGACTTGGGAGTAGAGGACCCTTGCCTAGCAAGTTCCCCAGATGCTGTAGTACAGTGGCCGTCAACCGGTGGTCCGCGGACCACTGGTGGTCTGTGAGGTCTGAAAGGTTGGTGACCGCTGCTGTAGTAGACCACCGAGTCCTCTGAAGGAGAGAGGCCCTGATCAGAATAATGGTGAGAAAATGTTCAGGTGTCAGTGTTGCAGAATATTTGGGATAGGGTTCTGGCTGAGCTGGAACTAAGGCATCTGGTGAGGAGGTGACTGCGATAATAAAAATGAGAAAGGACCAGCACTAAGATGGAAGTTGTAGGAATGGAGAGAAGGATAATTGTGGAAGTGATTGCTAAGTCTGGGAATAGATATTTTTGGTATACGGCTGTAAGAAATGTCAACAATAGGAACAAATAGCTTTTTCATTATCTTGTTTAATTTGAGTTGACATCAAGTTGATGAATTTACGGGAAATTTTAATATACTTCTTTCAGAATTAGATTGGAAGACAATTCATGTTTTCAGACCTTTGAAGTTTTTCTTTATCCCACCATTCAAGTCTTAGTTCATAGTTTTTTACTTCGTTTACAAATGTTTAAGAGCTGGAAAGAAGTGAGCAAATTGAAAGAAAATGAATGAAATAAACATTGGTTATTTTTCTAAGGGTATTTCATGGTGCAGACTTTTATTATAGAAAACTCTATAGAGTCACTTCTGGGTAAGATGGCAGAGTAAGTAAATGCTGTGCTCACCAGCTCCCACAACCACATCAAACTTACAACTAAGTTACAGAACAACCACCCTCAAGAACCACCTGAAAATTAGCTGAACAGCCCACCAGTGGTTAAGTGTTGACCTATGAACCAGGAGGTCATGGTTTGATTCCAGTCAGGGCATATGCCGAGGTTGCAGGCTCGATCCTCAATGTGGGGTGTGCAGGAGGTGGCCAGTCACTGTTTCTCTCTCATCATTGATGTTTCTATCTCTTCCCTCTCCCTTCCTCTCTCAAATCAATAAAAATATATACTTTTAAAAAAGAAAATGAACTGAACAGAATTCTTCTAACTAAAGATACAAAGAGAAAGACTGGTAGGAGGGACATACAGAACAGGCAGGTCCCACCCACACTCATGGTGTGGTGATAAGATTCAGGAGGGCTATCTTGGCTGTGGGAGTTCCTTATTGAGTTAGGGGTCCTAACCCTAGGTCATCTCTCAAGCCTAGGGCACCAGTGCTGAGAAGAGGAGTCCCCACAACATCTGGCTGTGAAAATCACCAGGGATTGCACCCTTGTGAGACGGAGGGCTGCTGGAGGCCCTGGCTTTCTTCTTGAGGAGTCTGTGCATGGAGTTACTCACAAACTCCTTGCTCTAAGCCTCTAGGGGCAGCAGCTCATGAAGTGCCAGGGACATGCAAGGAGTAAGTGAATTGCCTAGTTTCAAATGAGGACTAGAGGGACGGGCCAGCTCGCTCTGGGGACAGAAACACTGGCAGGTGCTATTGTTCCTTTGTTGAGCCCAGCAATTACGGGTACCAATCTAAGCTATCATCGTTTGCCCCACCCTGGTGAACCCCTGAGACCTCACCTCACTCAACTCATGGACTGCCTCAGCTCATACTGTGGACTTTTCCTAAAATCTTAAAGGTTCACAAACCAAACAATCAGCAGCTGTCCTCAGCATGCTCTGTACCTCTCGCTAAGTAAACCCAAGCCTGACACAAGTGATGACTAATCTCAACCTGCATTTGGCTGGCCTCAGCTCAAATCATGGTGTCCATCAAAGGGTCCCAAGCCTGACACTACTGACAGTGGCATTGGTTTGCAGCATAGTCTCTCGCAAGCACCTCCAAGTCTGGCACAAGCATCAACCAACTGCAGATCACTTTGTAGCTTTGACCAGGTGGCCCCAAGCCACTGGAGTCTGACCTTGGCCTGCAATGGAGCTCCTCCTAAGAGGCTTCAAAACCAACATAACTGGTGACCGACTTAAGACCACACCAGAGTATCACCCAACCAGCTCCACAAAAGACACACCCAAAGGGTGAACTTAGCTGGCACCACAGCCCACCTGAAGAGACTCCCTCTCTATGGGATAAGCCTCTATACGGCAGCTTTCCATAGTCATAGCTAATCCTCACAGCAAGTAAACCAGGCGGGCAATCCCACCCATTGATGTGCCAATAGCAGTCAGGGCTCAACTACCACAGGAAGGTACACACAACCCACAAAAGGGATGCCCCTGGAGCACCTGGCTTAGGTGAACAGAAGGACTGCACGATGGGGCCTCAGAAAACATCTATGTAAAGCTACTCTGCCAAGACTGGGAGACATAGCAGATCTACCTAATACATAGAAATACAAGGATTCAAACAAATGAGGAGCCAAGCATTTCCCAAATGAAAGAACATAAAAAAAGAGCAACAAAATGGAGAAAGCAATCTGCCAGATACAGTGTTCAAAACAGTGGTTGGCTATAGAATGCTCAATGAACTTAGAAGAAGAATAGATGAACTCAGTGAGAACCTCAACAAAGAGAAGGAAACCATAAAAAAATAATAATAATAACTGAAATGACTACATTAGAGGGAATCAACAGCAGGTTATAAGAAGCAGAGGATTGAATCAGCGATCTAGAAGATAAAGTAGCAGAAAACACCCAATTGGAACAGAAAAATAAGTTTTTTTTAATGAGGACAGTTTAAGGTACCTCTGGGACAACATCAAGTGTATCAACATTCACATCATAGGGGTGCCAGAAGAAGAAGAAAAAGAAAACGAGGGACTGAGAACCTATTTGAAGAAATGATGACTGAAAACTTTTCTAACCTGGCAAAGGAAATAGACAAGCCCAGGAAGCACAGAGTCCCAAATAAGATGAACCCAAAGAAACCCACAGCAAGACATAATTAAAATGCCAAAGGTTAAAGACAAAGAATCTTAAAAGTAGCAGGAGAAAAGCAGTTATGTACAGGGAACTCCTATAAGACTGTCAGGTGATTTCTCAACAGAAATGTTGCAGGCCAGAAGGAATTGGCATGAATATTCCAATTGATGAATGGCAAAGACGTACAACAAAGGTTGCTCTACCCAGCGAGTCTGTCATTTAGAATCAAAGGAGAGAGAGTTTCCCAGACAAGATATAGCTAAAGGAGTTCATCAGTATTAAACCAGTTGAAATACTGGTTTAATAGAAATAGAAATGTCCAAAGGACTTCTTGAAGTAGAAAAGAAAAGATCAAAACTATGAATAAGAAAATACAGTAAAGAAAATTCTCACAAAGGCAAGTGTAGTAAAAGCAGTGGATCAATCAACTGTTGAGGTTCTCACTGAGTTAATCTATTTTTCTAAGTAGAAAGGTTAAAAGGAAAAAGTACAAAGACCATGTTTAATTAAATTATACATAAATACACACAGAAGAAGTAAAAAAGAATGACAAAGACAAACATGGAGGGGAAGAGTAAAAATTGTAGTGATTTTAGAACATGCTCGAACTTAAGGAACCATCAACTTAAAATAGACTGCTCTAGCCCAGCCAGCATGGCTCAGGAGGTCACTGTTCTATTCCCAGTCAGGTCATGTACCCAGGTTATGGGCTCAATCCCCAGTGTGGGGCATGTAGAAGGCAGCCAATCAATGATTCTCTCATAATTGATGTTTCTATCTCCCTTCCTCTCTGAAATCAATAAAAATATATTCTAAAAAAAATAGGCTGCTATATAGTTTGGTAAATATGAAGCATATGGTAACCGCAAAGCAAAAATCTCTAAGAAATATACAAGAAATGAAGAGAGGGATCCAAACACAACACTAGAAAGTTATCAGTGTACAAGAAAAGAACCAGAGAACTTCAAAAACAATCAGAAGACAACAAAATGGCAATAATGACATACCTATCAATAATTACTTTATATGACCCAGCAACTTCACTCCTGAGTATTTACCCAAAGAGATTCAAAACACTCATTTGAAAAAGACATGTGCACACATGTTCATTACAGTCTTATTTACAGTAGCCAAGATAATGGAAACAACCTAAGTGTCCGTCTATAGATGAGTGGATAAAAAAGAATGGTACATATGTACAGTGGAATGTTACTCAGCCATAAAAAATGAAATCTTGCCATTTGCAACAACATGGATGGACCTAGAGGGTATTCTGCTAAGTGAAATAAGTCAGACAAAAGGACAAATACCATATGATTTCAGTTATATGTGGAATCTCAAAAACAAATGAACAAACAAAACAAACTAATAGAACAAATTTATAGTTGCCAGATGGGAGGGGGTTTGAGAAGAGGGGTGAAAAAGGTGAAGGGATTGAGAAGCACAAATTGGCAGTTATAAAAATAGTCCCAGGGATGTAAAAACCAGCGTAGGGAATAGAGTTAATAATATTGTAATAACTATATATTATGTGAGTTGGGTACTCAATTTATCAGGGTGATGACTTTGTAAGGTATATAAATGTCTAATATGTTGTACACCTGAAATTAACATAGTATCATATGTCAACTGTAATTGAAACACTTTTTTAAAAAATTAAATGCACATTCAGTCTGGAGAAAAAGAAAACTCTCTAGGCATGCAAAGAAAGGAAATTGTCATGCATAACCAGGTGGAAAGTCATCGAGAGAAACAGCCCACAAACAATGGGAATTATCAGGCAAGGAATATTTAAACAGCTATTACAAATATGTTCCCTGCGCCCAAGAATGTAGACTATAAAATGATTTAATGATTAAATCACTAAAATGATTTTTAAAAGAACTTTGAAAAATATAACATGATGTTAGCTACAGACCTATTTATTTGTCTCTCCATTTTGCATATAATACATAATTAACTTACACAGGTTTCTTTGTACTTCTAAAAAATGCCACATTATTCTGGCTTCCAGTTTGTGGGTTCCTAGGTTATATACATATAGTGGATTTCAAAGGGCCAATTTATGGTATGTAAGCCTTCTTTACTTCAAATCATAACCTTTGTTTCTATTAGGACAAAATAATGAGCTGCAGATGGGTTCCTTTCAAAAGGACTTTTTAAAAATATATACATAATCTGGCTGATTAAATTTTATACGTAGGGGACTGAGACTGGGAAGGTGTGGGGTGGTGTTTCAGAAACTCATTTTTACACTTTTTTGCTCCCTAGGCAAGAAAAGTCTCGTTGGGAAGTCCTCCAACAAGAACAGCGGCTAATGGAAGAGAAAAATAAACGTAAGAAAGCTCTTTTGGCTAAAGCTATTGCGGAAAGGTGAGGCACCTGAACCAGGGGAGATGGTTTGCAATCTGCAGTCAGCTCTGTCATGTTTTATATTTATTTTCCTATGTCTACACTAATAAACTGGCATTTTCTTTAAGGCTGATTAAACAAATCATGCTGTATAAATGATACTGAAGTCATTTAAGGATAGATCATAGCAAATTTACTGGTAATACAGGTACAATGAAAATTTAAGGATCAGTGTCAGTGCTTTCAGTTTTAACCATCTATGCATTCATAAGGGAGCAGTAAATAGCTGTCAATATAAGTAAATGAAGAAATGCAAGTTTTCATTTTTGACATGAAGGGGCCTTTATCATCTAACATAGAGGAGCGGATTGTTCCATATAAATGTTTTATACTCCCACAAATCTTATGTTTCCTATGGACGTTTTTCTTAAATAATTACTCTGCTCCCACTGACAGAAGATATATGATATAATTTAAGCTTTTATTGATGACTTGGGTCACCATTGGGAGCACTGTCCCATACTGTGTGCAGTTCACTTTTTCTCTCACCTCCCAATGTTAGTGTGTCCGAAATCCCCCACCCCCTTTTTTTACTGTGTTGTGCCGGCCTCAAACAAGAACATTCCCATTGGAACTGCTTTTCCCATCCCTCACCCACTCTTTCTGCCCTTTTATTATTTTTTATTTTAAAATTTTTTTGGTTAATCCTCACCCGAGGGTATTTTTTCCATTGGTTTTCATAGAGAGTAGAAAGGAGGGAGGGAGGGGGAAGAGACAGTGGGGAGAGAGAGACAGAGAAATTCAGAGAGAGAGAGAGAGAGAGAGAGAGAGAGAGAGAGAGAGAGAGAGAGAGAGAAACATCCATGTGAGAAAGACACATCAATTGGTTACCTCCTGTGCATGCTCCAACTGGATTGAACCTGTAACCCAGGTGCATGCCCTTGACTGAAAATCGAATGTGCAACGTTTTGGTGCACAGGCTGACGCTCTAACCGCTGAGCAACACCAGCCAGGGCTCTTTTCTTGCAATATGTGGTTTTATGTGGGAGTTTTATTATCCTGTGAAAATGTGTGTGAAATTTTGAAATGAGTGAAATCATTATTAAAGGTTGGCTTTTGTCTTTGTTTTGTTTTTTAAGTTTGTAATGTACTTGGGGGTGGTGAGGGGACTGAGAGATGGTGAGGCTGGATGTGCTTTTAAACAAGAAAAAAACTGCTTGGCTTTGAGACCCAGAAAGAAAAATTTTGAGGACCTGTAGTTTTACGTAAAGAACAGGAATCAAAGCAATAACAGTTTGGGGAAACGAGTCCTAAGAAAGTTAAAACCAAATAGATGTTTCTAGACAAATAAATTGTGTTTGATGCAGGCATCTGTTCTTGGTTTCCAGGTATCCAATGAAAATGGGCTAGAGATTTGGAGAGTTGTGTTCGATGTTTCAATGTAAAGAGAATACAGATATATTCTTTTAGTGCATATTCTCATCCTTATGGAATGAGTATACCTATGAGTGAACTATTTATTGATAAATTTTTCAGTCTTTTCACCTGTATATGAAAATCATCTATAATAATAAAAGCGTATATGCAAATTAGACTGGACAGCCAAATGTCCTTCCAGACGACCTTCCGAACGAAGCTGGGGCTGAGAGGGCCAAGCCCCTTGCAAGAATTTTGTGCATCAGGCCTCTAGTACATACTAATAGAAAATTTGGAACAATACGGAAAGAAGTGCAAATCTTAGCTATACACCAAAATGTTACGGGCATTTGACTTATTTCTATTTTTCTTATCTAATTTTTAAAAATTATACATTATATTCATATTGTAAATACAGTAGCTTGCTTTTTTCATTTACATTATATATGGATATATGGTTTTAGAATGTTTTTATTTTCCCATTCATGTTCCTAATTTTCTAGATCTAAAAGAACTCAGGCAGAGACCGTGAAACTGAAGCGGATCCAGAAGGAGTTACAGGCGTTAGATGACATGGTGTCCGCTGACATTGGAATCCTCAGGAACCGGATTGACCAGGCCAGCCTGGACTATTCAAATGCTCGGTGAGTTGGAGAAATTTGATTCAGAACAAGCAGTTCGATTTAATTAATGTGTATTGCTAGCTGGGTCAGGACCTTATGTGTATCATCGTTTAAGCCTCATAACCACCGCATTAAGTGTTGTATTTATTCCTGTTTTGGAATAAGTAGTGTCAAGTGTGTCTCCTCTTCTTGAAGTTTTCCTTTACTTTGCCCTACCCCTTACCCTTGTTCATATTCCCTTTAGATTATTTCCTGCATTGTTTATTTACATTTTAGTCTTTCTTACTAAAGCATCGGGTATTTAATGTTCGAGACTCTTTAAATATCTGAATGACTTGCCCCCAAATTATAATTCTAATGCCAACTCTATGGTTTTTCTGTAAAGAAATTTTGATTGAGGTTCTCCTTAGGGATTAGCCTAGTTCTCATTTCAGTTTTCATTAAAGAAACATCTAGTTTATTTGTTAAAGCCTATGAGTATTTAAAGAAAATACCACTGTCTTGAAAGCTGGAAGTTTTTTCTTTCCAATTCTATTTTGTATAAAATGGTTCTCTATCGTGTGTTTCCTTGGTTTCAGCCATTGGCATTTTTTAAGAGAAAAAATCATCATGGAGTATTTTTAAAATGAACTAACACATGTAAAGAATTACATGAACTTTGCAAGCAGATAAAAAGGCAAAAAATTAAGTCCAATTTCAGGGTTTTCAGTCCTTTCAACATTGCTTTAATCATCCTGGTTTGTCTTTTTTCACAAGGGAATGCTGTGTTAATGACTCCGTTTTGCATCTTTCTCTGTAACACTAGAAATCAATCAGAATGCCTCATTAGTCCAGGGTAAACCACAGCATCAGAATGTTTATATAACAATTTAATAAAGCGGAAATGCTTGATTGTGGTTTTTAATTCACTGTTTATTATTTAAGAAAGAGGTTTGTGGTGTCCTCATGATTTTTGTAATTGTTGTTTGACCATGTGCTGTTAGATTTAATGGGTTGCCTAAATTAATGCCATCAGTAGCTGATAACTAGAAGTTTCAGATTTCTACTAATAAGGTCATTAAAGAGGTGACCAAGATTTTATTAAGATCAAACTAAGCCTAGATGTTTAGCACATTTTATTCTCTGTAACTTAAGGTTGCCAGAGGAACTTTTTTTTTTTGCCTTTATTGCCTTTTATTTGAATAATTCAGATTATTCTGGATACTTCAACAGAAAATTTATCTGATTATGTTTTAATTCTGGAAAAGGATGCCTTTGTACACTGAACATTATATTTTTAAAATTTCATAGTTTTAGCCTTCAGAGAACCACAAAGAAGGTGGAATTACAGGTTAAAGGAGGAAACATCCCATAAAATAGAAACATTTATAATAAAATTTCAGTAAATTTTTACAAAATAAAAAAATTTTACATGGTGCATTTTTTACATCTCTTAAACTCAAAATTATAATTTCTTAAGGTACTGATAGTGACATCATTGTATGTGAATATCCATATTGCTTGTGTGAGGCTATTTTTTAAAATCTTATTAACAATTGTGACCAGAACGAGCATTGTATCTTGTTCATGCATAAGGTTAAGACATTTTCTAAATTTATGTCTCTGGTTATTGAGAAATTATAGAATGGTAATATACTATTATGGTCTAGATTTCTACTAATCCCCAGGTAGTCCATTTATTTGGGAGATTTTCCTTGATTTTAAAAAAATATATACGGGTTCTCTAGTGCCTGGTACAGTGCTGTGTCCACAAAGGTTCTGGGATACTGAATAGGCCAGAGTTCACTGTGGAATTGGCTTCTGTAGAACACCATCAGGGCAAACACTTTTGGGTGAGCCAACTTGAGCATTGCTGCTGTGCTGCTGTGCTGCTGCTGCTGCTGCTGCTGCTGCTGCTGCTGCTGGCAGCAACAATGACAGTGCTGCCATATGCTGTGCAGGCCAGCTTGTAAAACTCAGAGTGGCTGCGTGTAGAACATTTCTTTAACCCTCAATATACCAGGAAAAACAATGATCACTATTTGGCACCTCTGTTTCACAGACGCTCCCCCACACACATGTACACACACGTGCACATGCATGTATAATTTTAAGTCATTTTATGAGTAATCAACAGAAGTGAGAATAAAAGGGATTGTGGAAAACAGCTTCATTAAAAATTGTAATAAGAACCTAAGCATCACAAACCTCTTTGTATCAAGTAATGTTTGACTCCAAAACCTATTTTTTAAAAAAAGGAAAGAATGCAGCTACAGCCTCCCAGCAATATAGGATGGTCCAGATTCTTGTAAAATATGGATTGATTAAGTTCTTCCTATTGAAACTATTAACTATGAAAAATAACATTTTCTTTTTATCCTCTTTTCACTCATTGATTTGTGAGTTTGAGAACATTCATCTAGGATGTGTTTTTCTGAAGACATACTCTGAGATGTCACGTATATGAACAGTATCACCATCTAGAATCTAGACTGGCTGCATGTGCATTTGTGTTGGTTAACTAGGGCTGCTATAACAGATTACTACCAACTGGGTGTCTTAAAACAGAGCAATATACTCTTACATTTTCTGGAAGCCAGATTCTGAAATCAAGGTATCAGCCGGGTCACACTTCCTTCAGAGACTCTAGATTTTGGAGATTAGGAAGAGAATATCTTTGTGGGATCACTTTTTAGCCTACCACAACAGTTATCTTTTGACCTAATAAATGCAAAATATTTTCATCTGTCAATTTTCTCTACTTTGCCAATAGCGCAGAGAATAAAAAAAATACTAATTCTCAACTGTGTTCAATGAAAGCAGGAGCAGATTACAAAACTGGGGTTTCCAGTCTTTTATACTTTCTTGAAAGATGATGTAATACGTTGGACAATGCAGTAAGGAAATTGAACCATAATGATTTATTTCATTATAGCACCGTCCTTTTAGGTCATTTCACCAGTCTCTTTTTTCTTATTATTTTAATTTGTTAGCATAAATGGGAATAACTGGTAAGAAGGAAATACGTCATAGGGTGATGAAATGGCAAAATGTTAAAAAAATAATATCTCAACGATCTGGTAAAGTAACCTAGATTTATAAAAGGATCCAATGGACCTATGTAGTAATTGCAAAATATGGTTAGTCTTACTCTATTTTTTTAAATACAAATATATTTTCTCTTTGTTCTCTAGAGGACTTCTAACACAGGACTTTAAAAATCATGATATGTTGATGCTTACAAATAGTTATAATTGCTAATAAAAGAAACAGAAAAACTAAAAGTGGATCAGTGGAACCTAATGGCATGCCACGGGTTAATGATTGAGTTTTTGTTGTTGTTGTTTTAATTTCAGGGATACCAAAGCAAAGACAGAGTTTCTAGAATCCTTTAAATAACAATTAAATCATTCAATGTCCCTTTAAAATAACAAACTAAACCTATAATTACATTTCAGCTGAATTTCTCTTACTGTGTTATATATAATGCACTTACTATTCTGTTCCAAAGTGTGTCTTCAGGCTGATGTGGTACATCCACCTGACCCCCAGGCCCATAGTGCAGTTTGTAAAACTAATCAATACTTTAAACATAAATCACTCTGTACAAGAATATATATGCATGTTTCTGGCCAGAAGGACTTAAATAAATAAACAAAATGCAGGATCTTCAGTGATTTATCCAGGGTGAAAGATTAATGGAAACCTAGGTAACTATTTGCAAATTTTCATTTCAATTCAGCATTCATGAGCCCAGGTCAGTAAATCTTTCCTGGCTGACTTTGACTGGCTGAGGGCGACCACAGCCTTGCAGAGAAGGGAGGATTGAGTGGGGGGGAAGGGGCGAGGTAGTCATAGACCTATAGAGAGTGTTGTTAGAGTATTTATGTTTGATGCCAGAACATTCACAAACAGGATATGTTATACAGTATGGAAACCAGGGATCCAAATATCCAACAGAGCTCCTTTGGCACAATTCTCTTAACACAGAGGGTAATGGAAAAACAGCTTTCCCATTCCCATGTTTACTAGAGGACAGTAAAAAAAAAAAGAAAAGAAATATGATAAATAAATGTTATGTAAGTTAGAGTTTTCAAGTATAAGCACCAGATCTTTACATTTTGCATCATTTTCATTTGAGATGCATGTTCAGTGATGTACTGACAGTGCTTTTTAAGTCTGGTGCTCCGGAGGGGAAGTTCTGTTTCTTGAGTACCTACCAGGCCCTAGACCAGACACTTGCCCTACTCCCATTACTTAATCCTTAGTGCTCCTATGAAGTACCGTTATCACCATTTTACAGATAAAACAGAACTCAACTGGAGGAAACTACCTCGGGTCACTCCACTGGATTTTTAGTCATTGCGTGCTTCATCTCCAACCCCTCCCCCAGGAGCCTGGCTGTGTTTTATAGTCATGATGCTGACCCTGGGCCCTCTCTGATTAGAACAAAGACAAGCTACCAACTCCAAAACAGTTAATCTATAAGCTACTAATAAACAAGTGTTCAGAGCATGGCCTGGTACTATGAGCTCTGTGAGGAACAGAGAGACCCATTCAAACTAGCTCAGGTAAAAAGTGGGTTTTATTATTTTATAGGTTACAGGAAGGTATCTCACAGGCATGTGATCACAGTCAAAGGCTATCCTCTTCAATGCTCAGACACCACAGTTTCTCTAAAGCATTTCGGCTTTTCCTACTATACTCACCGCCCAATATTGCCACCAGCTGTGGCTCTATATCAGATCCACCCCCACTCCCCCCACTCTATCAGAGTTCCAAAATTCCAGAGGGAGGACCTAAGTTGGCTTTTTACCTGAGCTAGTTTGACTGGGTCTCTCTTCTTCACACCCAAGAACAAAACAAGTATACATTTAGCAAATGGCAAAGGCAGGTTTAGAACTCCAGGTTTTCTAAAATCAAAGCCTTTTATTTTTTCACTATCTCTTCTTCCAAGACAGAGAATCTTGAGTTAGGAGATACAAGTATTTCTTTTTTGTTATAATTCTAGTACTAGAAATTACTTATTACATTGAGTTGTATAGGCAATCAAGGCAGCATAGCCTTCACAACTGTTAGTGGAAAGTAAATGGAATAATTACTTGGTAAGTGGAGATCACTCTTTTCTTGGCAAAAATAAAAGCAGCAGATTATATAGAAAAGTCAAAACACAGTGAACCAATATATAAGGGGAAATAAAGGGAAATCGCAGGATGACTTTCCCAGTAGAATTACCTTACTTCAAGTAAGACTGGAGTTTACATATCTGACATTTATAAAATCTATATAATAAAACCCTAATATGCAAATCGACCGAACGGTGGCAGAACAACTGGTGGAATGACCGGTCGCTATGACGTGCACTGACCACTAGGGGGCAGACGCTCAACACAGGAGCTGCCCCGTGGGGATCGGGCCTAAACCAGCAGTATGACATCTCCCGAAGGGTTCCTGGATTGTGAGAGGGTGCAGGCCAGACATAGGGACTTCCCTCCCTCCCCCCATGTAAGAATTTTGTGCACCGGGCCTCTAGTTTCCTAATAAAAGTCTGATAATACTGTTGTTGCAGAATGGAGAGGGTAAGAATAACTTAACCCAGGAATTCTCAAATGGGACATTTTTGCCCTTTGGAGAAGATATGGAGACATTTGGTAATGTTCTGGAGACATTTTTGGTTATCACAACTAGAGGGTGCTACTGGCAGCTGGTGGGAGAAAGCCAGTGATGCTATGCTTCCTACAATGTCTAGGACAGCTCCCCACAACAAAGAATTACATGGTTCAAGTTGCCAGGAGTGCCAGTGTTGAGAAACGCTTCCCAAACATATCCTGAGGTTTTCTTTTTGCCTGCACCCAGTATCATTTGCTTGGTGTGCCCTGTCCCATTTATATTCATTTCCCAACCACTGTCCATATCCTTCTCCACCAAAATTTTTCTTCCTTTTTTAATCCATTAATCAAGAGATACAGATTTCTCAACAACAAAAATCTGATTAAAAATGGGCAAAGGGCTCTAGCTGGTTTGGCTCAGTGGATAGAGCGTTGGTCTGCGGACCAAAGGGTCCTGAGTTAGATTCTGGTTAAGGGCACGTATCTTGGTTGCAGGCTCCTCCCTGGCCCAGATCCTGGTCAGGGCATGTGCAGGAGGCAACCAATTGATGTGTTTCTCTCATATCGATGTTTCTTTCTGTCTTTCCCTCTTTCTCCCACTCTCTCTAAAATCAATGGAAAAATATCCTCGGGTGAGGTTTAAAAAAAAAATAGGCAGAGGACCTGAATAAACACTTTTCCAAGGAAGACATACAGGGGGCTAACATATATATGAAAAGGTGCTCAACATCACTAGTTATAAGGGGAATGCAAGTCAAAACCACAGTGAAATACCACCTCATACCTGTTAAAATGGCTATTATCAATAAGACAAGAAATAACAAGTTTTGGAGAAGATGTGGAGAAATGGGAACCTTTGCACACGGCTGTGGGAATGTAAATTGGTGCAGCCACTATGAAAAACCTCCACTCTGGGGGTTTCTCAAAAAATTAAGAATAGAGCTATTTTGTGATTCAGTGATCCCTTTTCTGCGTACCTTCCCCCAAATTTGAAAACACTGGTAAAGCTTTATGTACCCCTATGATCATTGCAGCATTATTCACAATAACTCACTGTCTTTTGACTTTTCTATATAATTTGTTGCTTTTTTTTTTTTTTTTCATAAACAACCTAAGTTGGATGATTGGATAAAGTAGATGTGGTACATATATACAATGGAATAGTACCCAGTCATTAAAAAGATGAATTATTACCATTTGTGACAACATGATGGATCTTGAAAATATCCTAAGTGAAATAAGTCCCACAGAAAAGACAAGAACCATATAATTTCACTCTATGTAGGATATAAAACAAAAAGCAACCAATGAACAAAAAACTCAGATATAGACAGAATGGTGTTTGCTAGAGGAGAAGGGAGCTGGAGAGAGGTAGAAGGAGCTAACGGGGGTTCAATATATGGTGACAGAAGAAGACTAGACTCCAGGTGGTGAGTACACAGTAGAGTACAAAGATGCATTATAAAGTGCACCTGAAACTAAGGTAATGTGATGATTAACCAATGTCACCCTGATAAATTTAAATAATAGAGATTCTTTCTCCATCTTTTACTGTTTTACCACTTATAAATTTGACCAGTTGTGAGCTGGAGCTAGTTCATGAGAGCAGATTTTGTGCATTCCCCCCCCCCCCCACTTCCACATTCAGTTATATTGTAGCTTGAAATTGGTCAAGGTGTAGTGTTCACACTATGGAAGTTGACAAACACTACAAATCAGGACTTACCCCCTTTAGAGCTAGCATACCACTGAGTTCACCCTCTTCACCTGCTTTCATTCAAGCACAGCTTTGGAAAGAGACAGTGAGTGCAGAAGAAGGTTGATCTATAGAAGAGTCCAAGTGTGGATGTTGTGGAAGTTTCAGCAGCAACAGCCTAGTTTGTCTAACGCGTAGACAAGAGTTCATAAAGTGTTAATAGTCGTATCTTATTATACCTTGTTACCAAATTCTGGAGTTCGTTTATTGCTGCTCGGCCCTCTGTCTACTATGGAAAACTAATGGACCAATCTTTGTACCTGTCCCTACAGGAAGCGGTTTGACAAGGCAGAAGCAGAGTATGTTACAGCCAAGCTCGATCTACAGCGCAAGACTGATACTAAAGAGCAGCTCACTGAGCACCTTTGTACAATCATACAGCAAAATGAGCTCCGCAAGGCCAAGAAGTTGGAGGAGTTGATGCAGCAACTGGATGTCCAAGCTGATGAGGAGACTTTGGAGCTTGAGGTGGAGGTGGAGAGACTACTGCATGAACAAGAGGCAGAAGCAGGGAAACAGAAGGTTCATGGAGAGAGGCCATTACAGCCTTCCGGGGAGAGTGTGGCATTAGGGTCTACTCAGAACAAAGAGCATCAAGCACCAGCTGCTTGCCCAGAGGTCGATGAGCAATGTGAAAATCCCAAGAGCACTCCCCTTCTCACTCCAGACCTCCCAAGTCAGGAAGTGAAGACTAGTGCTCATGACAACGGTTCAGCTGCCCTGACCACATGAAGGGCCAGTGTTTGTTGTTTTCAGCTAATATGGGCTTCAGTAGACTTTCTGTCGTAGAGTGTGCCATGACCGCTGCTAAATGCCTCTTTAAAACAATATTAGTTTTTTAATCTAGGATTAGTGTTAGAAATAACATGTTGGACCATTCTAAAGCCTCAAATAATTATAATTTTATCCATAGTTCACCTTGATTTTGGTCCAGTTTCCTTAGTGTCCCCTTATTTTGGGTGAAAACAAGTAACTTAAAGAATAGAAGAAAAATTACATGGTTATGAGTGTTTTTAGACCAGGTCAATATAGAACAAGTAAAATGAAAAATAATAATACCTCATCAAACTCATTTAACTTCTGGGAGAAGTGCTGGGACTGGGAATCCTGTTTTATGTCATCAGTAAAGAGCCACAAAACTTAAACATGAAAAAGAAAACAAACAACTAACAAAAGTAGTATTTGAGTCTTACTAGATTATTATCTGTTTGGGTCTTACTAAAATTGCAAAACACAGTTTTGAAATTACCAGCTTAAGCCAACATTACTTTTGTATTCACATTGCCTTTTAAGTGGCTCTAGTTTACAACCTGAATTTTGATTGGTTGACATATACACACAAATATATATATATATACACACACACATACACACACATACATATATATATATCTCAACATGCTATATATATAATTTTACTATTAATAAATTGTCTTTAATCAGCACATTGATTAAATTTAGACAATGAAAACTTGTCTATAGTGAGATTGAAAATAATATAGAAAATCTTGCTACTTTTGATTATGAAAAAATACATTTTCTTTCTGACATTACAGTAAGTATGTATTTTGTATGTTGGATATAAATTATCCTGATATAAATCATTTAAATTGTTAAAATGGTGATTTTCTTATTACTCTAATAGTTTATTAATTGCCATCACTAATACTTGACCACTACATTGTGCTATATGTGAATTTGTAAATAAATATTATAGTTTTGTTATAAAATCTGTGAATATCACATTAAATTCTGATTTATCAGAAATTCCAAACAGTGAAGTCAAGCATTTTAAGTCTTAAAAAAGAAATAAAAGAGGATAAGGACAAATGTAATATAGTAACATAATAATTTCTGAAAAATAATTTTTTAATGAGTTTGTTTGAGAATATTATTTTCTAATAGTGAGGATGAGCACTGTATTTTTATATTATGTAATTTGACCTGAAATTATAGCTCTCCATTACTGGCTTCTCTAAACAGAGACATTTTTATAGACCATTTGTTTTTATTTATGAATGACATGCATAAAAACTGAAAATTTCATTGTCCAATATAGTCCTATTTTTCTAAGGGATAAATCTGATGCACTTATAATGTGGTCTCTCGTTTATCTTTTTTTTTTTAATTTCACAGTTTAATATGTGTTCTTGAGCAGTGTGTGGCAGTAATGCATCCTGAATCTTCATATGGTAGATACAATCAGCTATTTTTATATGAACCTCTGTTAGGGCAAAATTCATCCATAAATGAGGTTTATAATATTGTATCCAAAAACAGATGGATACAACTTAATACACCCTTTAAGTACCTTAAGAATTTATCATATAAGATATATGGAGAAATGAAAACCATGAAATAAATGAAATGGATGGGGCTTTGGAGATCATCTGATTTAATGATCTTACTTTACAGATGAGGAATTTGAGAGCCAGAGATTTCACTTATGTCATGTTGGCCGACTGACTCACTTTAAACTTACAGGGATAGTCAAGTTGCAGTTCTAAACTCTTGATGTGTCTCTTTCAACCTTGATGTATCTCCTAGAGTGCAGACCACGAAGTTCACTGCATCCCTCTTAAACCCACTCTGGGTTGTGTTGGTCCATGTGAAATGCTTTCTATAAATGGTCCACTGAAACCATTACGTTGAAAAACATACCTTGCTTGGCTTTCCCAGGGTGGTATCTGAGTGTTCAGGTGATGATATAAGTGACAAAGTTCTATTGCATCAGTTTTGTACAAGAGCAGCTGTAGCCCATGTGTGAGAGGAACACGAGCAAATGAAGGAGACGTGCGGCTCATTGGTATGAGGACCATATGCACTGGTTTCTCCAGGATAGCCCTGATATCTTTTAAAATCATAAAATACATTCAAAAGACTTTTGATATATGGATTCACAAATTCGCAGTAATTGTTAGTTTCTCTGAAGGAAATTATTGGTTCAAAATTGCTGCCATGAGTTTATTGGGGCACTTTGTAGAGCTGTCTTTCCTGGAGTTAAATTCCTCTCCTCTTCCACTTCTCAAGTAGTTAGAGCATGAGGTTATCAGGGCACTTGATGTGCGATGTAATTGAGGAGTTAACTGCTTTGGGTTATCTCGCTTGTCCTGTTTAAAAGACAGTCTTTGCCAAATTGTGGTAATTTTTACTCAGTTATCTTTAAAAAAAAAATACTTTGAAAAGTAAATTGAATTCCTGAATTTTCAGAGTTCTTTACCTTGATTCCGTACTACTTTCTTTCAATTAGAGCCATTTTTTATTAGTTTCAAGGAAACAGAGCTTCTTAAAACAAGGTTTGTGTTGCATTGAAAACAAAGAGTTTTTTCTTAAATTTTTCATCTCTGCATAATTCTACTGATGGAATTATAGCAATTGCAGGTAGTAAATCTTTGTACTCACTGAGAGCACAGCTGGTTTCCAAGTCAGATGATAAAAATCTGATTGCAATTCCTAGAGCATATTTCATTGCTGGATTGGCATTTGAATTATAGAGTAAAAACTCGGCTATAAACCTCTCTCACTCTTTGTTTGGATTTAGCAACACAGTACTCTCAAGGAGCTTTATCTGAGTATTTAGCAACTTCCTCTTCTGAGGCACTGGCACGAAACGGACTCTGGTGATTCTGACCCAGGCCATTCCCAGTGACCTTTATAAGTGATGTTTTGGGTTTTGTATTTCTAAGGAGCCAAGTCAGCATTTTAAAAGGCCCTGATAGATATAACTCAGTCTGCCAGACCAGACCTGGGGCGCTCTGGACCAGGGTAATTATACCCCTTCTCAACATAGATTTACCCCAGGCCTGACTTGAACTATTCTCTGGAGGGATGGAGCAGGACACTGTTATCCAGGCTGCCTTTACCTTAATGTCAGGCTACTTTTGCAAGCTCCTAATCCCAAGCAGCTGTCTTAAAAATGCAACATCATCCCTATGCAATGGGCCAAACAGCTGTATCCAGCTACGTACATGGAAGAGCTGTATAAGAGGTACATGATCTGTGCCTTTGTCCCTTAGAAGCTTCTCTAGTCTATGCGAAGGACTAAGATTGATACTCATAAAATAGAGGCTGGTACAGAACATAATGTCTTATTAATGGGAGGACAGAATAAGTGGTAGGAACACTGAATATATATGTATCCTCCGCAAGTCCCAAATTTTTCGAACACTTAATTTTAAATATTCTATCCAGTTGTTTTGCAACCCAAGAATGTATCTAGGTAGGACCTGCCATCCATTTCAGTTTGCCATTAGCACTGGGGAGCAACACCCACACACAACTAAAACAATAACAACAAAAACCTCTCTTAGATAATATGTCCAGATTTTGAGTTAAAAAGAAAATGTAGTCACCAGAGCAAGAGTACATTGGGAAAAACGGGGAGGTTTCTGCATGTCACTGATTTAAAACAGTGGGCCCACTGGGATTTATCAGTGAAAAAAGCAAAAAACTTCAAGTATTGGGGAAATCAACTTTAAGCGCATGCCTTTCTGACAAAAGGTTGAAGTATCCTCTATGTGCAGAACAGTGTAATTATAAGGGCGCATTGCAATAATTCAAGGCATTGCTTAACCAAGGGGCAGTAATTACTGCCCAAGCCAGAAAAAGATGGAAGTGGAACACACTGGTGTGAACTCAAGGATAACTCAACATGGATGCATGTTCAAAGTCACACATAAGAGAGGTCTTTCCAAGCCAAATGGCTTTAGGAACCTAAAATAGAGCCATAATTAAGCAATAAGACGTGACAGAGAGCACATTTCTCGGTGATTATAGCATGCCTCAGGGATAAGTCACTAGGCCAAAAGTTCATATGAGGAGTGAAATAACCTTGCAATGTATAGTGTCACGCTACTAGAGGGAGAAGGAGGAGGAAATGAATAATGGGAGTTAGTAGAGTTATTTCATAAGCTGTTATTTCAGTTGTTGGGTAACACTACCTTGTGTATACTACACATGGCCATTAGTTGTATCCAGCATCCTAAAGCTCCATGTTTACACCAGAACCTTCATTTAAGTAAAAGCCCTGTAGAACTGTCCATCTTCTCATTTTCTCAGCCAAGCAAAAACCAGGCATTACAGACACAAACTGAAAAGTCCATAGCCATATAAATGGAACTATATAGTCTGGTAAAATTATAATTGCAGTTGCTTAAACCTGGCTTGTATAACTTGAAAGTAGCTGAAGCAACCACATTGAGTCATTTTCAGTATTGTGGCTCATTTGTCTCATGTGCATTTAACTCAGAAACTACCAGTAGACATTGCCCTGTGTCCCATAGGTCCAGAAACCTCTGCAGCCTTCTGTGCTGAGCTTTCCCTTCCTCATTGAGTTGCTGCTGGAAGACAGGGAGCACTCTAGAACTAGTCACCAATTGAACCCCACGCTATGGTGGAGGCGGGCCTTTTATCGGGATGACAAGTGAGATACCCAGTCTCCAAACTCTGAAGATGCCCTGAAAAGGCCTGCACATAGAGGCAGCCAGCTATCTTATTGCCATATTCTTCTCCATGTTTCTCTTATTCTTATCACTTTAGAAGATAATTAAAAACCTTCTGAACCAAACAGACAAGCTTTTTTGTGGTCCTTCACATCTCCTATTGCACAAGCCAGGGCTGTACTCTGGACAAATTTCTGGGCAAACAATGGTTTTTATCTTAGACAGTCCAGCCCCTCCTTTAGGTGACCCGTGCTCTCACTCTCTTCAAATCTGCTCTTAAGAAAAGATCTGAAGACAGTTACTATAGACTGAAAATGTTGTGTCCTTCTAAAATTCATATGTTGAAACCTAACCCCTGATGTGATGGTATTAGGAGGTGGGTGGGGTCTTTGTAATGTTAGGCCATGAGAGTGGAGCCCTCATGAATGAGACTTATGTTCTTGTAAAAGACCTTAAAAAGCTTCCCTTCCTCTTTGACTATGTAAGGACACAGAGAAGATAGTCATCCCTGAACCAGAAAGCAGCTCCTTACTAGATACCAAACCTGCCAGCACTTTGGTCTTGAACTTCCTAGCCTCCAGAACTGTGAGAAATAAATTTCTATTTTTGACAAGTCATCCAGTCTACAGTATTCTGTGATAGCAGCCTGAATAGACTAAGACAACAGTTACATCTTGGGGAAACTTTAAATCAGGTTACTTTTCCCAAGTGTCTCTACATTTTAATGTAATGAATCATTTTAAAGTAATGTATTTCAGTTTGTGTTGCGGAAAGCTTAACCCCCAACTAAAGGAATTTAAAGCATCAGAGAGCAGGTGTGAGAAGGAATTGAGATTCTGAAATGATATCCGACTGCATGAGCTGAGAATTGAATCTCTGAAGTTTTGCCCATGCTATAGTCTCCATTTAAGAAAGATGACCCAACCTGTCCTCCCCGACTTCCCATTGCTAGTGGAACATGTTAGGGAAATGAAATCAAGTCTGCCGTTCTAGCCACAAGAATCACTTATCGGTGGTTGCATAATAAACTGTCCCATAACTCAGTGTCTGAGATAAAAAAAAACACTGTTGTTTGCTTATGATTCTGTGGGTTAAGTATTTGGTCCAGGCTCTGCTAGAAGTTCTGCTGATCTTATTGGGGATCACTCAGGAGGTTGCAGTACTCCACAGGGTTTTTTAGGGGCGGGTGGTCTAAGACAGCCCCACCCACAACCTGGCAATTGGTGATGCCTGACACCTGGGGCTTTTTCTCCATTTCCTCTCATCCTCCAGAGAGCCAGTTTGAATATCTATTCACGGAGGGCCCGGGGTTAGAAGATAGTAGGAGGGAACTTCAAAGATAGCTCCTTGAGACCCAGGCTCAGAGCAGTCATACATCCCGTCTATTGCATTCCACTGCCCAAAGCAAGTCCCAAGACCAGCCCGGACCTGGTGGTGGCAAAATGGACTCTGCATCTGATGGAAGGGGCAGGAAAGTCACATTGCAATGGATATTCATGTACGAATGAAAGTAATGGTTGTGCCATCTTTGCAGTTTACTACAGTCTGGCCCTCCTTGCTACAGTAATTCACATCTATTCCACATACAAAATGCACCCACCTTTTCCCTCCAACCTCTCATCCCATTGTGGTTTCAGGCATGGAGTCCAGGATCTCATCAGCTGATCAAGTCCAGATGTGAATGCGGCTCCTCTTCATCAAAATACCTGTGAACAAAAATGAGAAGTTCCCTGTCCTCACCATGCCTCAACATACAATGGTGAGACAGAGCAGATTGCTTCAGTAGACACTCCCTTTTAAAAACAAGCACGAGGCAAAGAGAAGGCATTCTGAGAACTAGCCTGGGAGATGTTGTCAGGTCTCCCTCTACTGGGGCAGAGAGTATCACTAGGGCCTAGTTCTGCTGCCTGGGGCTCCCTAGTTCACTGTTCTCCACCATTCTCAGTTCCACACTTTGAAATATCTTTCCTTCTCTATAAGAAATGACCCATGTTTGCAACTGAGTAGCTCTCTCAATCTGCTTCCCGATCATAGAAACTTGAGTGTCCAGAGACCTCTTTTCATTTTGGAAAGTCTCAGTCTTTCCTGGTTCAGACCCATAGTGCTTTGTTAATTCAACTATCAAAATTTCATATGTTTTCTTTCAATCTTAGTGGGATTCACTCCGAACTCCAAAGCTACATTTATAGTGATTTCTTTATGACAACCTCTCTTGGTGTTGTACATTTCAGGGAGCTGTGACCTAATGCCCCTATTATGGACTGAATTATGTCCCCCTCCCCCCAAATTGGTTGCAATCCTAACCTCTAATATGACTGTATTTGGAGATAGTAGGGCTTATAAGGAGGTAACTAAGGTTAAATGAGGTCATAAGGGTAGGACCCTGATTCAATAGGATTGATGTTCTCATAAGAGACAATAAAGATTTCTCCCCCTCCCTCCTTTGCCCCCCTCTCTCTTTCACTCCATTTGAGGACACAGCAAGAAGATGGTATTTTGTTATGCAGCTTGAGCTGACTAATACAGATTCTGGTAGCAATAAGTGGGATGCAACTGTAACAACTTACATCCCAGCAGCTCCAAAAGTCTCAACTCATTCAAACATCTGAAGTCTACTAGTAAACTCCAAAGTCTCATCTAAATATCAGCTAAATAAGGTGCCGTATAGTCTTACATGAAACTATACACCTACAAAGCATGAATTCCACTCAAAATAAATCATGCCTCAATAAAGGAGACTGAGGAAAAATAGTGACTTAAAACAACTACTTTATTTTCTCATCATCCTCTGGGTCAGCAATTTGGACTAGGGTCAGAAGGACCAGTCTGCTACTCCTCTTTCCACAGAATCAGAAGCAAATAAAATGGTGGTTGTTTTAAGAGTAAGTTTTGGGAGTACTTTCTGTGCAGCAATAGATCATCGATATGGCACAGGAGATTGAATCAGGGGCTCCTGCATGTTCTATAAAACAATGAAGTACAAGCTGACCATAAAGGAGATCAACCACCCTTAGAATGATTAGCAAAAACTCTACCCCAGTGGTTGGCAAACCGCTGCTCGCGAGCCACATGCGGCTCTTTGGCCCCTTGAGCTCTTTGGCTCTTCCACAAAATATCACGTGTGGGCGCGCACGTACAGTGCGAAGTTGACTTAAAACTTTAAGTAAAGTTTATTAATTTTAGGGAATGTTGTGGAGTGAAAGAAGATGCAGTGTCGAGGATTGAGAAAGGTATGTTGAGATGGTTTGGACATATAGAGAGGATGAACGAAAGGAGATAGACGAAACAAGTATACAAGAGGAGTGTGGATGGGAGAGTTGGAAGGGGTCGACCTCAGCGAACGTACCTCAATCAGATTGAGGATGTTTTTAGCAAAGGCCAGCTTAGGAGTACCCTAATAAAGTTAATAACAATGTACCTACCTATATAGTTTAAGTTTAAAAAATTTGGGCTCTCAAAAGAAATTTCAATCGTTGTACTGTTGATATTTGGCTCTGTTGACTAATGAGTTTGCTGACCACTGCTCTAGCCTATCTAAGGAGGTCTATGACCTATCTAAATGATGCCTAAACCACCAACCAGAACTTCCATTTGAGGAAGATTTTAGTGCAGAACTCATAGAATTGCGGGCGCATCAAGTGGATCTGTTTTCCCAGAATTGCCCTTACATATCTCAAGGTCTCGTTCTTGGTGGGTTTCTGTCCAAGATGGCCTCCTCTAAGCTGCATATGGTACCACTGGTCCATCGTACTCAATTCACATAGCTTACATCTTCAACATCCCTTGGACCATACTGTGGGATCCCTCCAGGTCTGGCTCTCTCTTAACCACTTCTCTACCTCTCTCAGGACCAACAAAGATATCAGGCTCAGCTCCCTTACCAGTCTAGGACCATGGAAAATTCTCCAAGGCAACGCATACCCTTTTCCTGTAAATGTGCCAGGCAGCTTGTCTGGCACAATGCTGGGTAGAGGGGATCTCTCTGAGGCTTTCCATCTTTTGGATTCTAACCTGGGATTAAGACACAGTTCTCCTTGTTCTCAGAATGTGAAAGACCCACACTCATGCCAGCATTCAGCCTGTGGAGGGGGCAGAGGTAGAGTGCAAGAGCCCCTTTCAGGGACTCCCCAGGGTCCAACCCTCCTTGCTTTGCTTTAGAATAGCCTCTTGTCTCCCAGCCAGGGGAATTTTTATTTTACGTGGGCAGGAAAAAATTGGCTCAAGTTGATCAAATATTCTTCCAAACCTTTTTTTATCTGAAGCCTGAAGTTCAGTTTTTTAAACTCAAACGCCAAGGATTTGTCTCTTTTGTTCTCTGGTGCTGCTGTGACAACCCTCCCTGAAGGCAAGAAATGACTCATGGTCTAGCTGCCCAGATGGGGGAGGGTTAAGGGTAACAGGAAATCACGGGGAAAAACACATTTGTTAATACATCAAAATATTATCCTGCTACACTAGGATTCCTATTCTTTTTCTTATTCTTGGTTCAATGGAGACCAACCAGTCCCCTCCTTTCTTGACGTGAATTTCCACTGGAACCATGCTTTCTGTGGTTTCTGTTCTTCTCTCTGCCTGTTGGCTGTGTTCACTTTAGGACTGCCTCTGGTCCCTCTGTAGACCAGGGTGAAATTTGAACTCCTTCTGCTACCTGCTGGGGCTGAAATCACTTGCTGGGGGATCTGAATTCTAATGGAAGGGACTCTGACTCCATGAGCTTGGTCAATGGTCAAACAGCTGTGGCTGAGGCATGTTTAGAGGGCAGGACAGAATCCCATTTTATATAAAGTGCCCATCACCAATGAAGGGAGGGGAAATTCTTGAAAAAGTAGAGGCTGGACTGATAACCCCTATGTTAACATAAAAAACATTCACACCTGTAAAGAATTTTTGTGAGTTTATTTGAGCCAAACTGTCGACAATTGCCGAGAAGCAGAATCTCAATGTGTTGGGATTGTTTTGTACATTACAAAGGAGGAGGCATAAGTGGTGACATGAAATCCAATGGAGGCGGGAGAAAGCAAAGGAGGGGAGAACCTCTGGGATTGGATAAAAAGTAAAATGATAGATACATACTTAGATGGGTACAGGATCGTTAACCGTCAACAATTAACATTATAACTATAACAATGAAGGAATTTGTGGTCTCTGTCCTGGGGCCCAGGGCATTTGGTTGTGCCCTGAAGGGTCCTGAAGAAGGGAAGTTACAAGTTACCCTGACATTTCAAGGATATGTTATCTTAAGACGCAAAAAGGCTCAGTTAGGTAAAGATTGATCTTGTCAAGGAAGATACTGGCCTAGGACGGAGACTGCCCCCCATAGCTGCTTTTAGCTATAGTTTTAATTTCAGACCATCCTTTGTGGTTACTTTAGGTCTTTGAGTTTGCAAGACTGCCATGCAGGCCTTCCCTGAGCTTGTCAAGTTAGCATGTGGCCCCTTTTTCATCCACACCTAGATGTCTAATTTATTGTTCCCAGGGTAGAAATGATTTCGCCTTTATTAAATGACCTTGCAGCTTACCTGTACCTATCATGTCACCTTTATCACGCTTCGTATTTTATAGCTATTAATAGACGTGTCTAACAGGCCATCAGCAACTCGTAGGCTAGAACTTAGTTTCTCTCTGCATAAAGGTGAACAGTGTGCTGCACGTAATAGGTGAAGGGTCACATGAATCCATGGGAATAAAGAAGTTAGTTGAGTCAATAATCCCAAACAATCAATCGATACTATAAGGTGAGAAATATAAGGCATTTGTATGGTAGGTATAGTTCTGAAAAAATATCCAGATACCCTCTATTATATGCGACACTTTAGGCAGGGAAAGAGTTAAGCAGTTTTGCACTGTGTTCATGGACTTCTGACATGATATAAAACACTACAATTTTGGCTTTTCCATTTTAGCTGACATAGTTTAAGTTGATGAATATTTTGATTTGTGCCAGTCTCGGGGCAGTTTTAAATGCTATCCCTGCAGGAGTCAAGAAGTCCGGTCATAATCATAACAATATGCTTGTCAGTCAAAAGCACCGGAAGATTGTTTAGGTGCAAAGAAAGCATTTTCCCTGAAAGGAAACAGGGCAATTGAAATCACCTACTTTTCAAGGCATTGAAGTCAAAACTGTTACCAGCTTCATGGTGTGAAAATCCAGGTCTCAGGCAACCCCTTGGTCAGACCCCACTATGTCCTCAGGCTATGCAGCCAAAAACAAGTTAGTCTGAAGTTCAGAAGAAATGAGACTAAAGGGAAAGCAGGGGGACCAGGGTTGATGTTCCCATCATTATATGCAGGTCACCATTTGAGCAAGGAATGTATAATGAATTCCCTTCCATCTGTGAGTCCAAGCACCTTGGGACAGGTTTGCTGAGCCAGCTAAATCAGCGAATTCGTGCAATTACACAAGATCTGGGCTGAAGAAAATGATTTCATTCTATTTTTTTCCTGAATAGACTGAGCAAATACTATTTGATAGAACTGACCTAAAGGTTATACCATAAGAACTGTTTCCATTACAGCAAGCAAAATTTAAAAATTCACAGAGCATTGGGTTCATTAGTAAAAGGGGAAAAGCCAGAAACCAGTGTGGGAGAAAGGAAAGAAGAAAGGAACAGCCTGGAGAAATGGATTTTAAAATTGGAGGCAGCCCAGAATTATTCAGATCTCTGGATATCTTGGTGTCAGGACCTTCTTATTTCAATGTTAGTGTGACCTTAACAATTCCAGCTGCTCAACAAATTTGCTCAGCAACTTCGCCCGACCAGAGGAAAATTAAAAAACGAATCTGGTATGCCTCTTCTCATTTTATTGCATCAATAGCAGCTTGTACATGGAAGTGAACTGGTTAAATAAAAAAGTTACTATAATAGAAAAGACACCTTTCACCCCCAAAGAATTCCATAGACCCCATGCTGATATCAAAAGAATCTCCGCATGGGAAAGAGCAATGTGGAAAGCAGAGGGGAACAAAAATCTGGTGTTCGGTGTCCGCTGGGAGCTTCAGGCAAATATGAAACAATGACTTCATGCAGTAGATACATTTCTCACATTCTTCAACCAGTTTTATTGGCGAAATACTCATGTATCTATCCAGTTGTGTGAGCTCCAAGCCTGCCCAAAGGAGAATCTGAGTGGGTATTAAAACATATATCCAGGGTGGAACTCTAATCAAATGCTAGTCCTTTTGTCCCACGGTTTTCCACTGTTGGTCATTCTTGAAGTCAACCAACAACATGTTGATGATTATCCTCTATTTCACTGATAAGGAAAAGATAAGTTTGAAGAGGTAAAAAAAAAAAAAAAAATCTTTAGCAATAATAGAGCAGGAGGACATTGACTGCCACATGTACGTCCAGCCTCCCACACTCTCTGTGGTCCCAGGTTGCAGTGCGAAGTCTGGCTTTCCTGGCACACCACAATGGGCCCCAGACCTGCCTCTCTCGTTGGCTGTCTCCTGATTTTCTCCTATGAGAACCTTTTTTTTTTTTCCCTTTAAGCTGTCTCTATTCATTGTCTAACTCAGCCATGCACACATGTGCCTCTGCCCCTTTATGCTCCGTTTTCCCTCCCGTCTTTGTCTAAACTCGGTCTTTGTATCCTTCAGCCTGGATGCCTCCATGCAACTCTCCGGGGCTGCTCCAGCCTTTGCCAGGTCTCTCATCTGGATCCCTCTCAACTGGCGCTCTGCCTAGTGGGCCTCACCCTCCAATATCTCTCAGGATTTCATTCGCCTCTGAGGCCGTGTGGATGGCAGAAAGTAGAAAGGCTTCGGAATCAGATAAATTTGTGTGGAGATCCAGGCTCCTTCCTTGAGGAACTGTGATAATTTAGCCTCTCTGTCGTTTCATTTTTCTCATGTGTAAACTGGGAATCATTATACACTAGCATAGCTTACAGAGTTCTTGGGGACATCAAATAAAGTCCTATGTACAAAGTGCCTCGTCCCTTACACCACCCAGTAAGTCAGAGCCTCGTCTCATGTGTTCCCTGCTTTATCTATCAGCACCTAGAAGAGTTCTTAGCACAGAGTAGGTGCTCAGTTAATGCTGATTAAATGAATTAATATTCAGCACACAATAAACATTAGTTCTTATCTATTTTTTGCAGGGCAGGGTGTATGCATGTACTCACTGGGAGGAGCTTTGATAAGGAGCTTTTCTTGTAGGTCCTTGGTCTGTCAATGGCACATAAAGATACATTTATTATGGCAGTTAATGCACTTGTCTATGAACTTCAATGCTATTCCCTATTGATGAAAGCAGTAGCAGAGTAAAAATAATAATAATAATCATAGAAAGTAAATGAGGGAACTAGAAAAAGGCACTTGAGAAATATTTATCAATTTTTAACTTTTTGTACCTGTCCAGCATGCTGAGAAATACACCATAAAACTCAACGATAAAGTACAAGACATCAGTAATAAAGGTATGAAGAGGGAAAGAAGGAAGGAAGGAGGAAGAGCAGGAAGGAGGAAATAAAAGAAGAAAGGAAAGAAGGGGGAGTGGAAGAGAGGGCAGGGAGGAGATAGAGGGAGAGAGTAATAAAAAAGAAAAACAGAAGAAGAAAAAAAGCTGCGAACATATTGCTGTTGCCTCAAGGCTGCGTGTCTTATGTTTGTTCCCAGGCCTCTTGTGATCATCTGGCTCAGGCTGGGAACAGCCTCAGAGGAGATCTGAAATCCCAAGAGGATAGTGGTATTTAAAGTCCAGAAATTTCATATCACAGACCATGCCAAGCCACCAACATCAGCCTCTTCTCTATGTGTCTATCAGCAGAAGCAATGAGATCTCGGGTCCTAGAAGGCCCCTTCTTGATTTTAACCCAAGCGAATTCTTCCCATTTAAAATAAAAAAAAAAAAAATCAACTTGGACTGTGATCTCATACACCAGAGAGACAGTTTGGAGCAGCGAAGGCAGGTTTTCCCCTTGGCATAATGGAAACCATGTGTGCCATTACGGATTTCTAATGCTCCAATGAGGTGGGTACAAGTTGCTTTGAAGAAAAGGAACCCATTTCCAACCACATTTCTCCTGATTTATGTCCGAGTCGCAGAAGGTCCAGACAGGTTGGAAAAGATTTGGTAACTAGAGAAGTGACAGGGGGTGAGAAAGTATACTTTGTAAAAGACTGCGAACTTGACTCTTACTTTAAATTCTTGCCTTAGGCAACGTGTGCTTTTCAGAGCTTAAATCATGTTAGGAGTTTAAATCGGATTGAGGGTGAAAGACTACACAGCTCTATGAATTAGGTCTGGATTGTTTTGGTAAAAACATTTTCCAAGTTGGCCAAACATAAATCAGTCCTAACAAGGCACCTGTGATTACAAGCAGGCCCAGTGCCCTTTACCATACTTCCACCCATTCTTATTTCGCATTTTTTTCCCCCAACCAGAAAAGCAGGAAGCAATGAGGGTTTTTAGAAACATGTTGCATTGGGCCCACAAAAGAAGAGTCCAGAATGACACAAATCCAGAGCAGAGGACACGGATCACTCCATGGGTCTTAGCAAGGAGGCCGGGGACAAGGCAGAATCTGATGGTGACACAGTGGAGCTTTTCAGCAGACAGCAGGGATTGAAGTCCGAGGTTTAGTGTCATGTCCAGGACCTGGCATCAGCCGTCACCTGGCATAGCTGGCAGCTGGCATTCCACACTTCTGCCCCAGGGGCCTCCATGACCACACGCATGTGTCTCATCTTTCTCCTTCTCTTACTCTTTGACCTATAAGTTCTGGTTCAGGAGATTCCAGTTGCCCATCTTTTCAGGTGACTCTTGTACCCAAGGAAAATCTCCATAGCTGTTTTCTTATGAGACCTTGAGTTTCGACTTTAGCACATTGCTTTATGGTTGTATTATTCTTTATTGTTCTCGTGAAGAAAAAAAAAAATGGTCTCACCTTCAAATCAATGCTATATTTCCATTAGCAAATGCCTTTCTTTATATTTCATCAGAAACAATAATAATACTGAAAAAAAAAGACACCAGGGTTATTTTGCCCTTTTGCAAAACTTGTAAACTTAGTTTACCCTTTAAACTAAGATAAAAATAGCCTTGAAACTTTATGTCCACTAAATCCAGTGGTGTTGGGGGAAAGGTGTATGTGTGACTATTTCCAGTCTTATCTATTTTTAAAACTTGACTTAAGCCCTGACTGGTTTGGCTCAGTGGATAGAGTGTCGGCCTGCAGACTGAAGGGTCCCAGGTTCGATTCCGGTCAAGGGCATGTACCTGGGTTGCGGGCACAACCCAGTAGGGGGTGTGCGGGAGGCAGCTGATCTGATGCTTCTCTCTCATCAATGTTTCTAACTCTCTATGCCTCTCCCTTCCTCTCTGTAGAAAATCAATAAAATATATTAATATAAAAAAAACTTGACTTAAATCATTGAGTCAACTGAGAAAAAAAATGAGTGACAAACAATGAAAGCAAGAAGGTTTTACTCATAAAAATGTTTACAAAGGGTAGAGAACTTAAGACCCAACTGCTGCTCAAGTCAGTTACTGCGTTCTGAGATCTGATGGAAGACAAGTATTCTGCCTGTGAGCATCACGTGATCAAGGCATTGTGGATTGGTTGAAACTTCTCAGGTTCTTCTGGGTCTTGTCACTGGTCAGAAAATAGATTATGGCCTCCCGCTTTCAGGGAGTTAATTTAATCTGCCTTACATATTTTATACAGTGCATCAACGTTTCCACTTATTTTGGTAAATAAATGACAGTCCAATTTGGCAGACTCTTAGCTGAAAGCCTCCACAAATGTCTGTTCATTTGAAAAGATCACAATTTAAAACCAAGTTTATTTTTGTTGTTGTTTGTTTTTTCAAGGGAAGCCTGCACCTTATTTTATTTTTTATGGCACTTACCGCAATTTGTAATTATATTTTATTGGTAATTACATATTTATTTATATGTTATTTTCTTACTATCTTCTCCCAGTGAAGGCTGGAATGATGGTTTTCCATTGACTTGGTGATGCACATTTTTCACGTTTTAAAATCTGTGAATTCAGGATGCATCTTAAAAGTAACGTATTTAAGTTTAGTTGGCAGCATTTTACTTTTTCTCTTTGAGTGTTACATAAAATAATTATGCATCTTATAATTTTTAAAATATTTAAGTATTGCTTTATTTATTTATTTTTAATTTAAATTCTTTATTGTCTAAAGTATTACATAAGTCTCCTTTTCCCCCCATTGACCTCTCCCCGGCCACCCCCAACCGCCAGTACATACCCTCACAACCCCCCCTTTTGTGTCCATTGGTTATGCTCATATGCATGCATACAAGTGCTTTGGTTGATGTCTTATCCCCTCACCCCCCCGCCTTCCCTCATAGGTTGGACAGTCTGTTCGATGCTTCTTTGTTCATCAGTTTATGTTGTTCATTATATTCCACAAATGAGTGAGATCATGTGATATTTATCTTTCTATGACTGGCTTATTTTGCTTAGCATAATGCTCTCCAGTTCCATCCATGCTGTTGCAAATGGTAAGAATTTCTTTCTTTTTTTTTTTACAGCAGTATAGTATTCCATTGTGTAGATATACCACCATTTTCTAATCTACTCATCTGCTGATGGGCACTTGGGCTGTTTCCAAATCTTAGCTATTGTAAATTGTGCTGCTATGAACATAGGGGTACATATATCCTTTCTGATTGGTGTTTGTGTTTTCTTGGGATACATTCCCAGAAGTGGGATCACTGGGTCAAATGGAAGTTCCATTTTTAATTTTTTGAGGAAACGCCATACTGTTCTCCACAGTGGCCACACCAGTCTGCATTCCCACCAGCAGTGCAAGAGGGTTCCTTTTTCTTCACATCCTCTCCAGAACTTGTCGTTTGTTGATGACAGCCATTCTGACAGGTGTGAGATGGTACCTTATTGTTGTTTTGATTTTTATCTCTCAGATGATAAGAGACTTTGAGCATGTTTTCATATGTCTCTCAGCCTTCTGTATGTCCTCTTTTGAAAATTGTTTATTTAGCCTAAGAGGAAAGACTGTTTAAATTTTTTAGAATAGGAGATGGTTTTAAGAGATTTGACCCGAGTGATTACCTTTGATAAATTTCATTCTTTGTACATACATTGCTTTAATATCTACCAAATGTCAAGTGCTATGATACTGAAGATAAATCAAGGAAAATCAATAAAATTTGATCCGTGAGTTGAATTTAAAAAATTATACCAACAGGTGGGGAGGGGATAAAGGAAGGGAAGGGCAGGGGATGAACAGGAATGCACAAGATCCATTTGTTACTTTTGTGTATACATCATAATGTATATCTAAACATGTCACAATTGAATATCAACTAGAATAAGCAGTAGTCATCGATGTTAAACCTTAAATCTTGTCATGTAATAAATAAAATAGATATTAACATTGATGTTACACCTTAAATCTTGTTGTGTGATAATTCTGCAGTTTTATTGCTATGTCACTGTTTTTACTTTAAATTTCAAATAATAATCATCTCTCGACTCAAAGAAAGGGTTAAAAGGAAAAAAGAAATCATAAGATTCCAAAATAGGGATTTAATGAGTATAGCTGGTATGAACTTTTGAGCTATTTTGACTAGCTTGTGGGGAATATGTTCATGACTGCAATTATGTTGTATTTGTTTCCTTGGTATATAGACACTTATGCTATACAACTGGGCAGGCTCCTCTGTTGTCCCTGGATTTGGAAATTGTGACACAGGTAATCTAAGATGTAAAGGAAGAAGTCTTTCGTTCTGCCTTTGGTCTTACCTAACTGTTGTATTGTTGGCTTTTTCCTGTAGTCACTTTATCCCCCAAGTTTAATCATCTATATATATAAAAGCCCAGCGACTGAACGGCAAAATGACCAGAACGACCGACTGACCAGTCGCTATGATGCACACTGACCACCAGGGGGCAGATGCTCAACACAGAAGCTGCCCCTTGGTGGTCAGTGTGCTCCCACAGTGTGAGTGCCGCTCAGAGGGCAGGTCCACAGCTGCTCGTCTGACCGGCATGAGCGGCTGCTCCCACAGTAGAAATAGCCACTCAGCTGACCGAGATGAGCAGCCCTCCCACAGTGGGCTGATCCCCGCAGGCCACGCCCCCTCCCTACAGTGCATGAATCCATGCACTGGACCTCTAGTTACTAATAATTTCTCAAGCATAATTTGAGAGTATCTGGAAGTTTTCATTATAAGCAGAGGGTTTAGAATAAGGAGCCCAACCCCTGGAACATATCTTTTCAAGTGTCAACTTGAATGTCCTAGTCAGAAATCTTTTTTTTTTTTTTCTGGGCATTCATGGGTTTTTTTATATATATATATTTTTATTTTTTTATTGCTTAAAGTATTACAAAGAGTATTACATATGTCTCCTTTTTTTTCCCTGCCCTTGACAACCCCCTGGCCTCCCCTACCCCCCAGTGTCTTATGTCCATTGGTTATGCTTATATGCATGCATACAAGTCCTTCGGTTGATCTCTTACCCCCTCCAGTCAAAAATCTTGACATTGTGGTGTAGTATGGTATTTTTCCTAAGAGAAGTGGAGTATCTCTCCGATTGGCTAATGGACTGAGGATGTAGGAAAACAAATAAAGTAGAGCCATTCATGGCACATCCCATGAGTCAGTGGCCTCACAGTGGTCACTCTGCTCCACAGAAACACCGCAAGAGTAGACCGCAAACAGTTATCACACTGTGGCTAGCTAGTGTAAATGCTGCTAGTCACTGTTGCTCAATGACTGCATTATCAAGGTGGCTTTGGTCCAACTTGTATTTCAGAACCGTTAACCCTTTCTCAAGCCTCCCCTTTCCCAAATTTCCAAATAATTCTAATACTTCTACTAAGAGGGACCTCACAAGTTCTTCTGAGCAAGTTCTCTCAAACCTCTGGGTCCCACTCACCACAC